TATAGAAAATTCGACCAGACGAGTTTTTCCATGGTTTGCCACACGAAGCTAAGGAGGAAAGCAATTATTTTGAGCACCATCGGTAGTTGTTCATCTCACTAGTTCACATGATTTTAGATTGTAACAACCCGGTATTAGACTCAATCAACGTTGCTGTTTAATAAAAATACGTTGCATTATGGTTTGTTTATTGTTATAATTTATTGTTATAGTCTTTGTTATAGTCTTTTTACTTATGGTTGCTCTGAAAAGGGCTGTTTGTTTGAATATTTTCGGGGTTTTGATGACGTCATCGTCGATACGAGGCGTACGTAAAACCGAGGGTTCATATAACTGGGGGACGTAAAAACGAGGTTCTACTGTAATCTGTTTTTAAACTATTTAATACAGGTACTTTGATGGTTTTTAATTCACAAACTTGCTGTAAAAATCTTAGATTGAAATTAAAAAGATATATAATCAACCCAAAATCCATTTTAGGATTGTATCATTTCTCTGACACAGTCCTATGTTTTCTGAGTGTCTATATATCTTTCTCATTACTTTGTATTAACTGGTAAAAATTAGTTAATGAATCATTGTTTAATTAACTCCATTATTGCTTGTATACCTATTACTATTTGCTTTATTTAACAGCAGAGACTCTCAATTTATACTATGCAGCTTTTTTTATTTACAAGCCATCAATATCCACAGATCATGTATTATAATAGACACATTAATTTATTGGAGGAGATTGATTCGCAACATCTGCGGAAAAATGTTAAGTTAAACGACAGTTACTCTATAATCTACAAAAAATCCGCAGTTGAAATAGTAAGCTCGGCTCAAACATAACCTAATAAGGGGATGGCATTATGACTTGTCATTTAAGGTCAAGTTAACACTTATTCTACCAATATATGATGTAACCATCAATATTTAATTGACATGCTTCATTAGAAAAATCATATTTCATTAAAGTTTAATCCTGCAACTGTGCATACAGACCTTGTTATACACTTTTTAATCTATTACAGACTGTACAGACTAATGTCTAAATGGTTGTGGTAATGTTTTGTCAAAAGAGCTAAAGAAAATAATTTTACATATTAAAAATAAAGCTAATTTAATCACTTTTGAATGTAGTTTTTATCACTCATATTATGACAAAATCAGAGTAAATTATGGTTGGAACCATCTATATTTTACTCAAATATTTTTTTCATTTTGTGTGAGTGAGTGTTATTCATATTTTTATTGCATTAATCATGCCTTCTATATGTATTTTTATAAAATAATGTAAGGACATCATATTTCCATTAAATCTTGCCTTCATTTTCTATACTGGTAAAGGACACTAGTCTAATTTTGTGAAGTTTGAGATATCATTTTGATTTATTTTATTGTTTATATTATATTTATTTCATATACAATAGTGGTAAAACATCAAAATACAAAGCCAAATTATTACTAAAAATATAATACTGTATATTCACTATCAAGAGGCTCTCATGAAAAATCTAACTTAATGCTATTTTTTTTAAATTATAGATTCCCAGAAAGACGAGATGGTTTCTGATTCAAGATCAGGGATAAGTAACCAACTTGTAAGTCATGCACCCTCTATCATTTATGCTTTGTACTATACTCAGGTTTTTGCTGCTGTGAAAACCTCAAAAAATAACTTAGATATAAGAAATTGTAAAAAAAAAAGGCAATAATATACAGCATACATTCATTTATCTCTGAAATATTTAATGAGAATATTTAAATTTACAATTTAAATATTAATAAATACTGAAATATTAGTATAAAAAATGATTGGCAGCTTGGCAAAAAAGCTTACATTTACAGCTTGAACATCTGTCCATGCCTACTACCCCTTCCTTCGCTCCAATTTAATAGTATTATTTCCTAAAAACTAGAGCATAGCATTAGAATTAGAATTGACCTCAACAGTACAACATGAACAAGATATGAAGTAACAGTTGCCACGCACGTACTGACTTGTTTCCTAGCAACACAAACAATCACAAATACTGTGTGCTTCTAAATGGTGAAGTCAGCAAAAAATTTAATACAAATGTGGTAAAGTTAAACCAGTATTATTGATGCAACCAGCAGGGGGCCTATCTTGTTCATCACAGTATTTTGTTGCTGTATGATTGTTTGACAAGTTCAAAGTTCACCAAACTTGTGGCAGATTTGATGATCAATTCAACAACTAAAGTTAACAATGTAACTTAAATGAATAAAATCCTTTATTATATGCTCATTAAACTCATAAGCATCATTTTGAAACTTGTGTGTTTGTTTAGGCGCATATGATGTCATGGAAACTTGCCTTTATTTTATACCATTTATTATTTAAATTATATTTTCCAAAAGTTAATATCTAATGGAGAAACAAAATTTCGTTATAATGTAGTATTTGTTTCCTTCACATGTATTAACTGAAATTGCCAGCCCGGCCAACAAATTTAAATAGAATTAAACTAGACTTACAAAATATGTAAGAGATGGACAAAGAATCTAAAATTTGTTATTCTGAATTTCTGACAAAAATATTTGAACTTACTACGTAAAGAAAACAACTATGGATAATTTACTATGTATTTTAGGTGTTTTCTTTACAAATTATAAATTACATTTTTTTGAATAATTGTTTAGGTGGTTGATGGTTTTCAAGATTCTAGTGCTGAAAATCTGGACATGGTCAACACAGAAAATGTTGCTAAAGTCCGTATGCGATCGCATCTCAATAAGGACAGAGAAAAACGTAAGTATTTTTTAGCATTATTTTGCTATTCAAGCGGTTTTCCTCTTTCTAACAACATAAACCAAAAAAAGAATGAGTCTGAAGGAAGCGAAATTAACTCTAGTTTGAATAAGGAACTAAATTTATGGCTATTGGTTAAAGTTTGGTACCAGGGATTGTTACATTTTTTGGGGCTAAATTACTTGTCCTTTTAAATTGGAATTAAAATTGAAGTGGTATTTTGCATTTGTTGAGCTATAATTAAACACTTAGGTCAGGGGTATAGGAAACATTAATGTTCAGAGCAAGGATAACAGCAGAATTGAGGCAACATTCAGTGACTCCCTATGTTATTTATTACAATAGCTTCTGGCTGTCAAAATGCGCTGTCCAATTTATAATGCTATGTTCACACTATGAAGTTTTATGTGACAATACTGTTGATATGATGTGACATCATTATATATTGGCAAATAACAGATATTTCTCTCAGAAAGCTTCATAGTGTTAATTAATTGAATAATTTATTAAACTTAATACCTTATGGATGATTCTTTCACCTAAGCCTAACATCAATGCCCTTATTACAATAAATACAGAATATTATAACAATAAACAATCCATAAAGATATTAAGTATAAATCCATAAAGATTTCAATAAATCAGAACAATAAATTTAGGAGAAAAAAAGTATGCTATGGGAAATTTAAAAGGAAATATCTAAATTTGCCTTTGAATATGAGTGGATAGATTGTAAAGCTCAATAAATGAACGAAAATATTAGCATGATTTGATTTTTTTTTTTTCATTATTCTTCAGGTCAAATTCGAAGTGTATCTATGTTTGAACCAACAATGTAAGTTATTGGTTTTTTTAAAAAATAAGTATGATAATGTGTAATAATATACACATTTATTCATTAAGCTAATTTGTAATCTATGCTTTACTCATTTAATAAAAATTTTGCATTTTATTTGCAAAATTCACTCCACAAGCACATACACGCAATCACTGAAGAGTAAGCACATGTGCATCTGGAAGGTCATTCACAATCTTCAAAATTAGGCAGACCTAATAATGGAAATGTTAAATAATAGTTAATTTGAAACTATTTTCCAGTAAAATATCCTTTTACTGTAATGAAAGTGTACAAAATAAACGAGTTTGTGGTCGCATGTCTTAAAGTAGCTAAAAATGACTACTTTGCCATCTGGGTTTTAGGACTCCTCTATAATTTCGTAGTATAGCAACGACTCTGACGATGGAAGCTGCATATGTCGTATAATGATGTGCTACTAGATAGTTCATCAAGCAGTACCAAAGCACTGAGTATACACAGCACAAGACAATCTTAAAAATGATTTTTTTATAATACGATGGAGTATTTTTAATCAGCATTATCATACTGTAAATGCTAATATTTGTCATTGTGAATGGCCTCAAAAGCACTTACACATTTCACATGCACTTTCTATATTAATATCAAATTATTTTACCAATGGAAATATTGTTTATATAATATATGATTAAAATATTACCCAGCCAATCATGTTTCAATATTTATTTTAATCAAAATTTATTTCTTGTCTATTTTTAAATTTTGGTAAATTCTGAAATATATCCCAACAAATATTTAATATTCTGCTTACTGTTATTTTGTTTAAAGAAACCTTTAGTTGGCTTTTTTATGCCACTTACTTTTGCAGCGTTAGAAATGCTTTACACAAAATGTTTTGTTATCTTCTTCACCCTACTGACATGCTGGTGATGTTTATAGTTTCACAAAATATTTACAACAGTAACATCATCATCAACATCATTGACATCATTATAATCTTCATTATCATCATCATCATCACCGTCATCATAATCATTATTATCATCATTTTCCCTGAATCCATTGTATAACCAACAGCATACAATGCCATGAATTATGAACCTTCTAATTTTTCATACAATTTCCTCCATCGTTCCATCTCCCATACAAATATTATCAACCCTTCCCATATAATTTTCCTCAATTACTACCTTTCTCCTTTATACTACAATTTCCCATATACATTCTCCTTCCCCATAGTCTCCCTTCCACCATGTTCATATCACAGCATACATTGTAGTATGTATGCCGTGGCTAATTTCTCTCTTTTTACAGGCCTTTAACTCATTCCACCACTTCACGCCCTAAGCCCAAGACAATCGGTGATCATCAGTAAGTCTCTCATATTTAATTTTGGTAATCCCATAATTTATTTTATGTGTCATGCACTGCCTTAAATCCATCATGCTTCTGAAATTGCAATTGTTTTTTTTTGTTTAATTTCCCTGATTTGCATATTTTAGTTTTATAATCTGCATGCTAACCTCCTCGTACACTATATTTTAAAACCACAAAAACAGTATGTGTTGTAGATTTAAAATGAATCCTTTAATGTACAGTGTTACTTTGTCCCTAGAATGTATACCTGCACCTGCAAGTATGAGTTTTTCTTTTTTTAACATTTTTTATTTTAATGAGAACTAAGTAATTTCCCAGTTGATTATATTTTGTTCTAAATCATGAAACGAGAGGCAAATAATTGTAAGTGGACTGGTTCTCTTTATGAAAAATTGATGAAAGTCGTTGTGTAAATTTCTAATTAGGAAAGTGTTGTAGTAAAAGTCTATGTATCCGTAATAGGAATTAAAGATGTATTTACTTATAGTCCAATTAATAATACATTCAACATTTTTAAAAATTTCCAAAAGGCTTAATCATAAAGGACACAGATTACTGGGACCATCAGGTGATGGGCCTAAGCAGGTTATATTAGGAAATTTGATTCATGGTTTTGTATTTACTACATTTTATAGTCAATTTAAATACAATTGAACCATTAGTACTACATCTTTCATTGCAAATGTTGAAGAGGAATCTGTGAATGAAAGAAAGAGCATTCTCTAGCATTCTGTGTAGATTCCCCAACCAACCAGGGCATTGGGGCTTGTTGGAAATTCAAATCCAATGATGGAATGATATCAGTTACTGTAGTCAGTAACAAAGACCAAAGAATGTATGGTTTCATAAGACTTGTAGTGAGATCAAATGAGGCAGTCGTTATTAAGTTGTTCAGGTATCCATATAAAAAGGTTTTGATGGACACTTGAAAAGGTGCAACATTAAATGACGAAGTCATGTGTTAGAGTCTCACAAGATCAATGTCCTATGAACTATTAACACCTTTCACTCCAGAATCGAATTGCATTTCTTTTAATTTCATATATTGCCAAGTGTTTATATAAAAAAATTGATGTTAACATGATTAAGCTCATAATTCACAGTCTAAGACATTATGATCAAGTTAGATCTCATGCTTTTGGTAGTTCTAATGCACTTAAGTTTACACTTGTCAATTATTTTCCTTGTCTGACAAATTACCGCAAATTACTAAAGGTGATCTGGCTATTAGTTTTAACACTTTTATTGAAGGGGTTAAGCTGTATTTTCAACAAATATAGTTCTGGTTTTAATTAAAGTAATTATAACGATTTTAATTTATAAGATAATTTTATACAGTAGAACCTCGATTTTACGTACGGTACGGGACCGGAGGGCGTACGTAAATCGGGGGATTCGTAAAATAGAGGTTGAGTTCAATTTATGGTAACCTGTGACCTAATACGTACGTAACGCTCAATAAACGTATGTATGAACGAACGAACGATGTTACCTAGGCTAGACCTAGCCTCTAGGCCTACGAATAAAACCATGTGTTTAGTGTTTTTATTCATCAATTTACGATGTCATAATAAAGTGTTCAAATAAAACCATGTGTCTAGTTGTATTAATTCATCAATTTATATCTTTTATTTAACTAAAGAACATGAAAATATTGTAAGATTACCTATACGTCAAAGGTATAACTTGGGAGTTCCCCTTCATGCCTATTCTAAACAACAGAGCTGTGGTGTTGTCTAGGCCTTTTGAGACAAACTAAAACCAATTAGCGTTCGTGTACGTGAAACAGCAACCATGTGCTATGCACTGTGTGAGCCAACCAATTAGCGTTCGTGTACGAAACTATGTCTACTCAGCTTCGTGTAGAAAATTCGACCAGACGATTTTGCCACACGAAGCTAAGGAGGAAAGCAATTATTTTGAGCACCATCGGTAGTTGTTCATGTTTTTCTCACTCAGTTCACGTAGTTTTAGATTATAACTGTACAACCGGATATTAGACTCAATCAGCGTTGCTGTTTAATGAAAATACGTTGCATTATGGTTTGTTTATTGTTATAGTTTATTGTTATAGTTTTTTTACTTATGGTTGCTCTGAAAATGGCTGTTTGTTTTGAATATTTTCGGGGTTTTTTATGACGTCATCGTCGATACGAGGCGTACGTAAAACCGAGGGTTCGTATAACTGGGGTACGTAAAAACGAGGTTCTACTGTATATTGTTTTATTTGTGCTTTGCAAATGATAATTTGAATATTTCTATTTTACTTAGATAATCTGGCAATTAGTTTTAGTATTTTTTATTGACAGGGTCAAGCTTTGCTTCCATCAAATTTTATTCTAGTTTTAATTAAAATAATTATAAGTTTAATGATAAAGAGTTTGATTGTAATAATTATATTTTATTGTTTTTAAGTGCTTAGTAAATAATTTGTTTTATTAAGATAATCTGGCAATTTATTTCAACGTTTTTTATTGAGAGTGCCAACCTGAGCTTCCATCAAATTACATTCCACTTTTAATCAAAATAATAATAATTTTAATGATAATAATTATAATAATATTTTATTTATAGTTTTTAAGTGCTTTAAAAATTATTATTTTAATATTTCTGTTACATCTATTTCTTTGGTTGGTACTGGAGAGCTCGCAGACAGATGGGCTTTGCCCTCTTTTAAACAATCCTACCAGGCGCTGCTGAGTCGTATTTGTATTTTTGTATTTTTATGTTAAAAAAATGATATGGTATGATGATATGATAATTTGTTTCACTTCCGCATATAGCATTATCAGCATGATTTTAAATTTATTTCTCTACGTCATTCATGATATATATGATAGATATACCATATTTATTTGAATAAACACCCCAAGATATTTATTGTTGTGAAGGGTTACTGAGGGGGTGTTTATTCGATGAAGACATTTATCTGAAGGAGTTGTTTATTTTTTTTCGGTGAAAAATGGATACGTAAATGTGGAACTACAGTACAGTACATGATTACTGTCAAAATGTGTTACTGTGTGTGATCCTAAAGACTTATTAATCCCAACCAATTTAGAAAAAAATGTAATACTACTGGAGTAGAATATTAATAGAATGTGTTGTGGATGATGTTGCTTTCATTAGTTTTCAGAGGGCGTTTTTTCGAGGAAAAATTAAATGTTTATTCAACGGAGGCTTCCTTGCAGATGATGCTCCGAAGTTGACCTCTATTCGAGGGGGCGTATATTCAAAGCGGGTGTTTATTTAAAACGGGCGTTTATTAGAATATATGTGTTATGTATAAATATCTGTGTTTTGTCTGTCAATTTGTAAAAAATTATATTTGTGACATTTGTCCGAAATCCCATGGAAGCATGTGTATTATTATGATGTGCCAAACATTACCATATTGCTTTTAACAAAAGTCAGAAAAATATTGTTTAAGAACCCTATTCATTTGCAGGATAAGCAAAATCACGTCGGAAGAAGTTCCACAGGAATCTGATGAGCTTGAAGCGGACCCGAATTACGCAGAATTCCTAAAGACGCGACGCAGGAACAAAGCACGTATGTCGCTAACAGAGTTCTTAAGTGACCCTCGGAACTTTGATGAAGGAGAGGAAACTCAAAGTGTTACCAAGAGGGAGACACCTAAACCTCGTATGTATTTTTTAAGCTTCTTATTCCATGTCTTCCTCACCATTACACTATGGACATTTCCCTAAACAGGAATTATTTATTAATCAACTTAAGCCTTTGCCCCTATTAGAACTCTAATGTTACTAAAAAGAATTGGAAAAAATACAGATATCAATGAATGTACTTATAAGCTGGAGCTGTGACTTAATAGTTGAGGTGCCACCCTTCTAAACCAAATGTTCCAGATTCAAACTTGGAACTCCACTTTCAAAGCCTTGTCAAAATTCTTGGTTGTAGAGCGGCAAAGGTATTGGCTGTGTAACAGCATGTGCCTCGAGCATCATGTTTGATGGATACATATTGATAAACTGGAGCCAATAATTTCATGGGGTTTTAAAAAATGTATTTGTTGTCAAAGCAGAGGGCAGATGAGTGCAGTCTATTGAGTGGTCCGTGCTACATATTTACAGTTTAAACAAGAAAATTTTAGTTATACTTGGAACTTTGGCAAATATTGGAGCATAAAATACAGATACCTAAATACCTTGATATATTTTGTTTTAAATGTGCTAAAAATATGTTTTCTTTTTGTTATTTTCTAAGGTCCTCCTGTGTTTAGGAAGTTTAGTTTCTTGAAACAGAAAACTAAAAAAGACAAGGTAAGCTAAGAAAAAAGTGAAGAAGACAAACAGTACTTTACGAACTAACAACTTTTATTGTCACACAAGCTTTCGACCATACAGTAGTAGGATTCATCAGGTCACATTCACCGGATGAACACCACTGTGTGGTCGAAAGCATGTGTGTCAATAAAATTGGTTAGAGTGCTATTTGTCTTACATTTACAGTTTTTAACATGTTAGAATTTGATGTCCTTAGTTTCTTCTCTTGAAGGATGGGCAATTCAGGATTTGAGAATTGCCTAGATTGGTTACTGGTTAGCCTATTCCCGTCAGCAGCAACTTTATCTCGTAAATATTTTATTGTTTATTTGCCAGTGTGATATAGAATTCCAGATTTCATACTATATCCTTGAAACCTTGTCTGATAATGAGTATTATTCCAATAACTTCATTTAAAAGTCTACTTAATCACTTTTCTAGAAGGACCGTGAGGAACCGCGTCTAAAACATCAATTTGTGCCTGTTTCATTTTCAACATCGAAGAAATGTCACCATTGTGAAAAATCAATGACAAACAAGGATGCACTACAATGTCAAAGTAAGTATTGTTATTGTTATTTTTCATTGTTTTGGTGATAGTTCAATGTCTGAATAATTGTTGTGCAATCTCAGAGTAAATATTAATTGTTTTTATTATTGGTAATTCTGGTGGAAACACCGCAAATTGTATGCAGATTTTTTTACTGATTTTTTGGTTGCAATTTATGCACCATTACTCTGTCTAAAATATAAATTATAGGCAGCAATTTGCAGTTGATATATTTCAAGGCAGCAATTCCTTTAAGAATATCCGGGCATTGTATTTTGTGATACGATTCTAATAATAGTCAAATTATTTACACACTTTCAACCAGGCAGGTACCTAGAATCAGTGTATGTGGTATTTTTATTTTTCTCAACAGTTTGTCAAGTTAGTGTACATAATAGTTCCTGTAAAGATAATGTAGTTCCATGTACAAAACCCTCAAGACATCCAAAACAGGTAAAAATATATGCAATTATTATTATAACTATAATTGTGTTTTTCTTTTTGTTTGAAGTACTGTAGTAAAGTCAATAGCACAAGACCGAACATATTCTTTGCAAGAGACAAACGTAGTTTCTTGTTATTAGTACATAAATTTCTGTTGCGATTGCTTGTAGATGAAGAATGCGATGCAACTAGACTCGTGCATCAGATCGTTTTTAATGACGATACTTTCAGACTGCTAACAACAAAAAGCAGAAAGTTTTACGTTGTCCAGCGCTCACTGAGAATTAAAATTGGATTTTGGCGGCTTGCAGTTGTTTCAGCGAACACAATTTTCTGCCCGGTTTTAGTCACTTACACATTGCCTGCTCCCTGTCGACTCTCAATAAGTATTTGAGGCCCAACAATATCAAGCATTGTTTGATATTGAACAATGCTTTTTTTCTATTCTTGCTAACAATGTTATTGCTCTTCATCGAAATTGTTTGGTCATGTGTTTTGGGCTACAGTTGCAAGCGTATGGTGATTGAGTGTGTTGATATATCTACTCACATAAATAATAAGTGCATTTAAGGTGTTGCAAGTATTTAATACTGTAGGTGATAGATATATTAACTTAATGATTGTTGTGATCATCATTATCAACAGTGTAGCAACCCAAACAACTTAATATTACAACAAAAAAAAATTATTATTATTATTGTTTCATGTTTTTATTATAAACATTACCAAAACCATAATTACTATTTTCAGTTTTATTATTATTATACGATTACTTGAACAATATTTTTTAGGATGACTTGTATAACTTAGAAATTCATGCTCATCTTTATAAATATTAAATATTATTTTAATTTATGCTATCATTATGCTCTTTATCATTAAGAACCGTCATCCCCATTATTATCACCACTACAGTACTTGTCATCATTATGATCATCATCACCATATCAGCTTCATATTATGATTTTATCATCATTATTTAATCTACCATCTCATCATTTTCATCATCAGCCTTGTCATTATTATCATCCTATCATCATTGCCAACATCATTCAATTATCATTTTTATCATCAACATATCAGCTTAATATCATCTTGATGTCATCATCATTTCATCATTATATTCTCACTCAATTTAATTAATTGCATTAAAAAAAAAGTAGATGTTCATACAGATAAATGAAAAAATGGCATTACATAATAATTCAACCAATTATCATATTTAATTAGTTACCTATGTAGTACCTTACTCTCACCTATCCCAATAGCCTGATGTGTGTAACTGTTATGTATTGTGTTTATACTATCTTATACTATATACTCTATGTCGTGTTTGTTAAAATCTCCATCACTCATTCTACGATCAAGCTTTGCTGTCTTCCTTTACACTGTATCACTCCCTTCATTCTTAGACAGCTCATAAGATCTTTTTTACAGAAGCTGATATTGCGATACTTTGGCCATTCACTCATCAAACCCACGGCTACGGAGGTGATAAAAATTTTTCTCAATTTATGAGCTGCTGCCGAAAACCCAGAAACATTAGCTTTGCCATCATCACACAAATTTCTTTTCTCCATCATTTTTTTTTATTTAATGTCGTTACAAGTTATTACTTTGTTCAGGTCATGAATCGGTGTATTATATTGTGCACATTCTAAAATGGTTATTTCTTTAAATATATCTAGATTTTATTTTTTTTAATGTTTTATTTTTATTACTGCAAGCATGCTCAGCATACTCATTTGCATATTCATGTTGTGTAAAACTAACAGGTGTGATTTTGTTTACCTGGATATGCAAATTATTTTCTTTTGCCTTAACATAAAGTATTCATGTTGTATATTTAAGAATTTAATTCTTTAACTTGGTGTTAATCTTAATATTGGAATGTGTCCTTTTGTAGCTTCAGCAAATATTGATTATATATTTTTGCCATACAGTAACATATCATTTCATACTTTATTTACGGATAAACAAAAGTATTAACATTTTTCTATGAAACATAATTTCCTAATACATGGTCAGTAAATAAGTAATTAAGTGGTAAGGTAGTAATAATATTTTATTTTTTGTTAAATTATAAATTACTCTAACATCATTTTGTATTTAATCATCAATTAATTTTTGCATACAATTAAAATATTGGAAAACCAGAGCTAACCAAAATGAACTTAACCACAGTAGCTATACTGGTGGTCCCATCTTCAATGACATAAAAAAATATTTATAATATTAAAAATCAATTATGTAAAGAAAAATTACAAAGAATCAAAATGGAGATGTTTTTACAGTCAGGCTCCGGAGGAAATAAATGTTTTGATATGTTGTAGAAATGGTTTTTCTAAGACAGAAAAAAAGTTTTTTGACAAAAAACTGAATGAGATACAGATTTTTGAATATTTAAAAACTGGGGAAAACCACCACCCTTTTTTTACACCTTTTTCCCCTAGTTTTTAAATATTCAAAAATCTGTATCTCATTCACCATTCCCCAGTTTTTTGGTCAAACAACTTTTTCCTGTCTTAAAAAAATCTTTTCTACAACATATCAACAATTTTTTTTCTTTCGTAGATTGACTTTAAGAAAAGAGGATGGGCTCGGACAGTCATTCGCTATTACTGAGCTGGGACAAAAAAACATAGCTTGATCATTACGTGTTTATCCTGTGTGGACCAGTTGCAATGACATGTGAGCCAATTTTGAGCATCTGTGAATTTTCAGAGTAGCTGCATACACATGCTAGAGTGCCAGCGTATCAATATTGGCTATAGCAGCATCACTTATGGTTGTGTTGTTTGATGCAGGCCTAGGATTTAAATCATTCTCGTTTGCAGCACACTTAAAATGCACCACCAATCCACATTAAACAACTTCAATTTCTCTATTTCGCACCTTTTCTACCATCATCAAAAATCTTATTATTCTTATTATTTTATTAAATTCAGCATGCACACATTTTTTTCTGTCTTAGTAATGGTAATCCCTTGTTCATTTGGTGCCTTTAGCACTACAGCAGTGCACATATACAATTTATAAACCTTATTATTATTATTATTATTAATGTTATTGTTTTTATTGTTATTATTATTATTATATTATTATGCCTGGATTTGTACACTAGTTCCTTTATGTAAATCTGTGTTTAGTTAGTAGGTTGTATATTGGTAACATGCAACACACCTACAAACTGCTGTTTCTTTTTCTTCTGTTTTTTTTTTTTTTTTTTTTTTTTTTTTTCTTTTGTAATTTGGTGGGCAGAACTATTCATTTTAATTATTATTATTCAGGCAGCTGTTTTGTTAATCTCAGAGACACTTTATTTAAATTATCAACATGAAACAACCCTTCTTCTGAGAAATAAAGTGAGTCACTTGGTACCAATTCAGTTCACAATAATGTTTTCCTAAACTTCAGTGAGTTGTAATTTTGCATTTTTTAAAATTCAATTCAATCAAACGAATGATCTTTTCTTTGACAGCTGTTCAGTTGAGCCAGTCAGTTCGTGAAAGACCAAAGTCAATGGCTGTTCCTTCTCAAGGAATGGTAAGAAATTTTCTTTAAAAATATTAATTTAATTAAATTTTTATTTAATTTGTGTTAAAGATTTATTTCTATGTTGTTAGATTGTATTATATTAATTTGGTGTGAAATACCATGATTAACCTACCAAGGATTCAACCAATAATTTAACTTACTTGCTACATTTCGGCTGCTACTTCAGCGAGTCTTTAATACACAACTTGATGTTAAGTTGCTGCATTGCACCTTAACTTCATGTTTTGGTCAAAGCTCTACAAAATAGCACAGAAACAGCTAAACTGGTGGTAGCCACTCTGTGTGCGCTGAATCATGCAATCCATTTCTTGCCCAGTTCATTCCATTTGCTGCTCATCTTGTGTTTCTGATAAAATTAATGTAATGTCAAACTGCTCCTGTCTTATGATCAGAGAACTATAAAATCATTAATGAAATTTCTTGTTCAGTGGTTGCTTCATAAACAAGTTGGGTTTTTTTTTTTTTTTATATGACTTGTATTATTACTGTTTTTATTAACCATTATTCTATGAGAATGTAACAATTAATTTACTTTTGTGTGATCCATTGCGTATTAAGCAGTACCTTGAAAAAAAACCTGTCCTAATGAGAAAATCCAAGGGTGTATACCACTTGGCCTCATAGATCAGTTGGTAGAGTATCCGAAAGGTAATCGGAAGGTCTTGGGTTCGATTCCCGATGGGGACATACATTCTTCTCAAATAATTATTATCATTCTTAATATATTCTGGTACATTTTTTCTATATTGCCGTTTTAACCCTTGTTTTAATGATTTGCTTTTGCCTGTTACATGTGTATTGATAACTTAATGTGTAAGGCGCTCTGGTCTATTTTGGAAGGGCGTTTAATAAGTGATTATTATTATTATTATTGTTATTATTATTATTATAAGCAGAACAACTTCATTAAAAATAAAGTTTCAAAAGCTCGAGCCTACAACTGTGGCAGTTGGCTTTTGGTTACCACTTACATCTAAGTGGTAACTACTGTTGCAGTAGACTTTGAAAGATATTTACGGCCGGCAGAAATAAATGGCGCATTTCCAAATGATAAAATCCTATGATTTAGGTAAGAACAAGACCAGTTAATTTCGCCCTGAACAGCGTTCTGAACTGTATACGAAAAAGTAATTCGTGCTCCACGGCCTACTGATTAAAAAAAAACAAATTTCATTGGCACTGCACTCTGAACTGTAAAACACTCCATGGTCTACTGATTTCGTAAGAACAACAGTTTAGTAAAGCACAAGTACCAAAATGGAGTCCAATGAGAGCAATGTGGACTGTACTTGAACAGTACTCACAAGAGCTTTAGTGAAAATGATATCTACCTAGCCTATCCTACAATTTAATAAATACAGTAAGTGTTAAAATGAAGTGCTATTATACCCATTGTACTGCACTTTCTGTTTCGAAACCGCAGTAGCAAAACTTTTAATTATAAGGAAACTGAAACTTATTATTGAACAAGTTAAAAAATATTCATCTGATTACATAAGTTATCGCATTTCCGTGTTCGCTACGATGTGCTCTGAATTGAGAATCAGATTTCACAAGGGGAATGGTTACAGTGAATTTGGTATAAAATCATAGAAGATATCTTGCTATGTTATGGATTATGAGGATGAAAGCTCGGTAGTGTATGCAATGTGCGTGACAAGATCAAAGGTTATAAGACATCAATATTCTCAGGTCAGCATATATTATGCTATTTATATTACAACTCAACATTTTATATAGCTGTTCTTAGGTAGGTCCTCTTTCAGCAGTTCTCATTAATGAGCATACTCCCTCTGTAGTGTTGTATCCATAGAGTATTCAACACCTCAGCATTAAAATAACCTTAAAATGTTGGCTTCCCACTCACTAAGTGATAAAGGTGTTTGTCAATAAAATTCATACTTTTTGTTTCAATTGCTTATGTGAACTACTAAGAGCAACCTGCTAATTTCTGTAAAAAAACAAACAAAAAATGTTTATTTTATATTAAACACAGATGCCACCCTGACACGATTTTTATCCCCGCAATTCCACGCGATGCGTCGTGGCAAGACGTGCCATTACGGTGGTACGCTGCAGAGCGTGAACCCGTGTTTGCGGCCTGTTTACGCACAGTACACACAAGTTACGCACTGTGTACACAACGCACGTCAAATGTACCGTATTGACACGCAATGGCACTACTTGTTTACGCATTGGTTAAGTATTGTTCGCGCATTGCTCACGTCTACCGTACCGCATTGTCCCGCAGTGTCGCATAAACATGCATAATTCCCGCTGTCTTCCCGCATTGCCCCGACAAACAACATGCATAATTCCCACTGTCTTTCCGCATTCGCGCAGAGTTTGTGCATTGTTCACGCATGGTTCACGCATATGGCATGATACGTGCCAAATTTTTGAACATTTTAAAAATCTCTCTACGACATGGCGCGTACCACTACACCCTTCACATACTCCTCACGCTCGTTCCCAAAGACTTTAATCATTGGCACGCTGAAGTGCGCACAAGTGCGGCAACGAAAATCAAGGATGTATCATTGTGTCTCCTCACAATGATTTATCATTTTCTAATTTAGTTGCAACATTATAATGATGATATCTTATAATAAACTTTTAGTAGAAATAATAAAATTTGATTATTTTAGCTAAAATACTCTAGCATAATAATCAGAATGATGATGATAATAATATTTATAACATAATGCTGATAATAATTTTAATACAATTTGATAATTAATAAATGGTAAGAATTAAAAGCACATTTTACAATGGATTAAGTAGCTGAGTTTAAAATTCCTATTATAGAGAGATCCCTTAAGCTGTGTGTTTTCACTGTAGACAGACTCTGGCCCGAAAGCGATTCTTCTGCTTATGTCAGATGACAGAGATGCATTTCTTATTAGCTGAGCCATTGATTGATGCGGCAACGTGATAGAGCCATTCTTATTGGCTGCATTAATATCTTGTGTGATGAAGCCACCTTTCCAGTTTGCATTTACAATGTTGATTTGGAATAATAATATTTTATTTTCTTCTGTGTTTCCATAAAGTGTATTTGATTGGTGATACTTCACAATTGTGACAATAGTCTGATTGTACTAAGGACATAATACAGTAGATCTGTTGAGGAACAGTGAATTAATATGTAAATAAGGAAATAGGGATGCATTGATAGACAGATTTAGGAACACTGAATGTACTAAGATTGATATATTGATAAATGCATTCTAAATGTCAACATATATTATTGTATTTCTCCATCTTAATACTCGCTTTCAATATTTTGTTTTCTTGCTTAATTTTACTTTCATAGTCTTCTTCAATTGATGAATTTCTTGTATCCAGATAGAATTTTCAGTAACTGTCTACATTATTTTTAGTTTTTTTTTTGTTATTAAATATTTATTTGTTACTTGATTAATGTTAATTTATAAGTTATTATTATTGAATATAAATGATTATGGATAATTTACTAACATGTATTTATTTCATTTCTTCATTTATGTATTATGGTATACAAAATGTTGGTTTTGCCTTGGTCCAAAGTAAATGAAAGAGTTCCAAAATTCATATGACAATTAAACCATTGCTTTGTGCATAGAAACCGCAACCCTTAAAGAGGTCCGACTTATTTTGTTATGATAATAACTTATGACTGTGTTGTTATTGTTGCTATTTGATGTTTTTTTATCTAATCCTTGATTGATTGTTTCTTTCAGATTAATCTCAGTAGTACTCCAGATCTGAAAACTTACCGATCCAGTTCCATTTTATCGTAAGATTATTATTATTACGATAATTAAGATTAAGATTATTATTAAGATTATTATTAATATTATTAAGGTTATTAAGATTATTATGTCTGTTTCAAGTTTTCTCTTGCCTTTTATAATGTCTCTTTTTTAGAATCTGTAAAATTGTTACAATTTAGTCTTTAATACTGCAATTACAATTATTTTTGATTAAAATACCTTTATGAATAAATGAATGAATTATTACTAATCAGTTTGAATGATATTTATTTGGCTATTTAATTTATTTTTTTCCTAAAATGTTGTCTCTTTTTATGGACAAGTCTATAAAATGAATCTTGCATCTTTTTTATCCAGGAGAAATGAAGATTTGACTGATGCAGATAATGGCTCTGTTTTGCTCTACCCAAGGTAAGAAACAAATTCTTGATGCTTTTTAGTTAATGTATTGCATCAGACCTTTTATGTTTTTTTAACCAGCAACTTAACGCATACATGTAAAATTAAATGTTGGATTTGGTGTATATATCATATGTATTTTGTCTAGTGTCAGAAACCATCAATGCCGACAACAGTTTTATTTCTTTGAAGTAAGGTTACGTCTAAAGACATTTATAGTCAATGCCACTTTATTACTAAACATTTTATGTATTAAAATATTATTCATTTATCCAGGGTAGGGCCATAATTAAATGTAATGAAGACAATGTGGGCCCTGGATTTATATATTATGCATGAATTACTGAGATATAACACTAAATGTATTAATTTGAAGGCAATAGCGTAATGATAAGCCTCCATTGAAGCCTTGCTATGCTTGGGTCCTGAGGTCGCATAGGGCCTACCGAGACAACATTGTTGACATTTTAAGGGCATATTTTTCTATATTATTATTTTACACATTATATGGCCCCTAACTTCGATTGGCTAAGGTAAAGGTAGGAGAATAACCCATAACTCTCAATGTCATTGCTGAATTGTCTGTGACTATAGTTGCCTTAAAGAAGCGCTTATAGTAGCTTCATGTTCGCATCATTCGACATTAGCCCATACCATTATAGATATGGCTACCTATCATTTTGATGCTAAAATTAGACCATAGTAAAAAGTGGCAAGATTATTTGTACTTATCTACAATTGAACTCACAACCTCCAGATGAATAGCCTTGGTGCCTTAATCACTTGACTAAGCGGAAGCTCAGTGGTCAAGAGATTAAGACACCAGGCTAGTTATGTGGAGGTCGTGGGTTCATTGCATGGTATGTTAGGTGGTGACACATGTGCACCAGTGACGTGAGATTAGATTTTTGTGGCTGACTTGCCTGACCATGTCTAATACAGACAAGTGGTGGTGCCAGAATTTCTCTGACAGCTGGGCCTTCGTTTTTCTATAAAAAAAAAAAAAAAAGGGAAAAAAAGGGCCACACCCACCTCATCAGTCACCTCTAGATTCCAGCTCTCTGCCTTAAAAATGACTTAATTTTCTCAGTATTACTGACCAAGTGACAGAACTATAATGCGCAATGGTAGAGAAGGGCAACAGTCACCCTGTCCCTGCCAAAATATGACAAAGAATAGCACAGTATGTAGATGGTGTAATTGAAAATTCAGTCATGATCAAGGGTCACCTATGAGGGGCATAGGCTGGGTTCCTTTTGGGGGCTGGGGGAGGGTAGCATGCAAAAATTGAGAGTGTGGAACTGGGGTGTGCAAAAATTGAGAAAAATGAACTAAATTCCTTTTCCAGTGAAAACTTGTAATCATTTTTACTATTTGAACTCACTCAGTGGAACTAACATGCTGCCCCTCCCACCCCCTTCCCCTGTCTACGGCCATGCCTGTCCATGCCAAAGTATGATCAAGAAAGCATATGTTAATAGCACATTAGAAACTAGTTGCCACAGAAGGTTAATGCCCAATAGTGTATATTAGTTAAATGGTTAATGGGTTTTTCCTATATTTTATAACTAAAAATGTACAATTTTGTCATCAATGCAAGGTATTTTTAGATGGGTTTTTTTTTGTTTACACCTTTTGTACAAAAACTTTATTTGTCTCTGTATAAAATAATTAATATAGTGAGTAATACAACAGCACAAGATTTATTTCATAAGTAGATTTTCTTAGAATTTTGTTCAGCATTAATTTCTTAGTAATTTCCATCATCATGCTCTCATTCAATACAGGTTACTCCGAACAAGGTCAGCAAGTGATAACTAATCACAAATCAGTAATAAAATTTAATATTCGCCTTTTAACTCTGTAATTAGCATATGTTATTAATTAAAACATTGACAGCGTATTTCAGTAATATATGTGTTAGTGTTGTATGAAGTGTTTACAATATGTGATGATGAGTTGAGATGTTCCTGTCATAATAATATTATATACAACAGATATTATAATAGCTGATATATTTTGGCTTGAAGTTTAATCTTAACAAAATTACCAGTGTTGAAAACAAATATAATTTGTGTGTGTGTGGTGTTTGCTAGCTGAATAATTTTGTTTGATTACCATATCTTTGGTTACAAGTTTCATATAGAAATTATTTTAGATGTTTTGCCTGTAGATGGATGAGGTGAATTGTGGGAAATATACAACAATTGGGTTTTATTCTCAATACTGAGTCATTGTTAATATCCATGAATAATCCCAGATTATTATGGATTAATTTTCTATTCATATTTCCCCCTACCCCCTTCTTATCTTACAATCCAGAACACATCGAATTGGCTAATCTTCATGTGCATTTCTCCAATCTTTTTCTGCCTTTGTATGAAACCCAGCAATTGTGTAATCACAGTCTGTGTTTTGGTTTTTCTAGTCTCAATTACTCGAACGCAAGCACTCTCTTTTATAGTGGCCATTAAATTTAAATTACAATTCAACAGTATAGGCGGACTTTGAACAGGAGGCAGTGTGCATTGCCATTTGCAGTGTTAGTGTCAGTGATGGAGGCCACAGTGAGCTTTGGATCTCAGACAATTGAAAGAACTTCTGTAAAAACAATAACAGCCTCTGAGATGAGATTAGATGCAAGTTATGCAATCAGGATCTAGTCGCATGCTCATATTTTTTGTATTCGCATGTCAAAGGTTATGATGAGATCACGATGATGTCATGTTTGGTCTTCTATTGCAAAAATCTATCTGGATATTTTAAATGCATTACCAATTGACTGATGAATTTATTTTGTAAGTTCTGTCAGGCTTTCTGTCAGACTTATCTTCCTCTCGCGTCCATTGTGAGGGGAGTTGTGGCAAGATGTCAACAGCCTCACCCAAATTTAAATCTCCCCTCTCCTCACCCGGATTAAGGATGGGGTCAGGTGTGTTTGAACGGGTTTATGAAGATGTTGATTTTTCCCGTTACAGCCTGAGCAGCGCACATTCTGTATCAATTGAATCGCTAGAGGATCTGAATTATGATTATGATGAGGATATTGCTATGAAAGGACCAGAGCCAGAATCATGGAGTGCAACGATGGACAAAAAGGTAAACATTTTTGTTTTATATTTGTGATCATACAGTATGTCATTTATTACACTTTTTAAGAATCATTAAAAATCCGAAGAGATGGTCGACCAATAGTTACTTACTTACAAAAAAGTGATGACCAAATAGCTATAAAAATTCAGTGCATGCATTTTCATTAAGTCACCCAGTGCCTAAGGAAAATGTGGTTCATGGGCCTTAAGTGAAAAGATGATCATTTGGGTTAAATTATATTTGTTTACCTTTGTTGCCGAAAAAGTGTTTCGATAATAAAGGTGCCCCAAAGGATGTGTTCTACTGTACTTTAAAATTATTGAAATACAAATCATTGAATCGTGATGCTGACATATGTCACCCAGCTATTGACCTTTCAACTTGGGATTAGTATGCATTTTTACAATGTAGTTTAGTCAGCAATGCTTTGTCATGCATATTCTTGACATTTCCACTCAGATATGTAAAATCAGGTTTAGTGTTGTAGAATAATTACTGAATTAATATAGAACAGGTTTACTAAATACCAAGGTAATGAGATGATGGTCTTCAGAAATTGTTTCTTCATTCTTAACACCAATATCAATATTTAACCATTTTTTATACCTACAGTAATTTCTTTTCTTTTTTATTAAACCAAAAATGTTTGTTTTATATTGAAAGTGATTTAAATTGGTTTAACATCAAGTTTGTGGTTACCATAATTCCATAAAAGTTACTGTATAAATTTACTATTGTTTTTTATTCATTGTTATCTTTATTCTAAAAATTGTTTCTGTTTATTTTTAGACTTTGAAAAAAATGAATGCAAAAGATATTAAAAGACAGGACCACATATTTGGTAAGAAATTCTGTGTTATGTTCAAATGTTTGATTTTGCGAAATATCTTATTGCAACACTGAACCAAGGCCTTTGTATTTGAAAGGTGTGCATCTAAACCACTATGCCACATCTCCATTTCCTCTGCAATTTTAAATGAAAGTCTTCAATTTGAGACCATGACACAGAAACCTTAAAATACTATTAGTTGCATCCTGTATGGCAGCTAGTATCTGATAACATTCATAATACCTCAACTTCTTCGTTATTGTGTTACAGGCTTAAAATTGATAAGTGACATAGATATACATTATTAATTATTTAAATATTTTGTTATATTTGAGCCCTATTGATTCTATATGATTTAACCACTAAGGACCGACCAACAGAATAGATTACAACCTTTCAGGAGATTAAAAAAACAAACCTCTTAAAACCTAGAAAAGGAATGACCTCCGGACATTATTTTCAGATTCCCCTTTAAAGATTTTTTGTGATTTAAGAGTGCAGACTTTGTTGATTAATACACCGAGAAAGATAGCCGTGATTTATTACGGCGTGTTTCCTTGATCAGACTCGCAAATAACTCCCGCTGATGGGTACGAGATCTAAACATCATTGCAATATCCGCTTATATAAAGTTTCCGCCATTCATTTTAGCACCAAATGTAGACCGTAATTCACTCATCCTTCCTGATAGCCATTCCATTTCAAATGTTTTGGCTGAGGTACATGGATTAATTTAGAGCGTAAAAAGTATTTCTATTTATCATTCACTCACATACTACTGCTTTAATATTTTTCTCGCTAATCATCTTTATTCGTATTATATCATAATTATTATGACATACAGATAACCACAATAATGGTAACAAATACAGGAAAAGCTTTGATGATGTTGGACATGTTTTCACCTCTAACATGGCTACTCCAGGTGATAAGTGCAAAGAGATGTAAATCAATCTGTTCTGTATATGAACATAAAGCATAATAACACAATGAGTCTGGGCTTTTGAATGGTGATTAACTTCCTTAGGCTATTTCTACTGCCCATATAGTCACAGATTCAGTGTAATTAATGACTCTGCTATCTATAAACATCTTGTTTTTGCCTATAAAAGCAAAAACCTTGTTATATATAATATATTGTTTTTTTCTATCTCTTACAGAGCTTATTCAAACTGAAAAACATCATTTAAGGACGTTAAAAATAATGCAGAAGGTAAGAATATCAAGTTGTACTTACCCAGGTGATAAGATTGATTTTTATTTTTTGCATGAAACACGCTTTAATGTTACTGTGTTCAAGATTTTCTACGCAGCACAAAAATGATACGGAAAGAGTGATACAACCTGTCAGGTTTTCTTGGATCTTCATATGAATGTCAACAAAACATGTTGCATAATAATTACAGTGATTACAATGGTTGTAATACCATTTTTAGTTATTATGCCTACCTAAGCACTAAAGCTCAAATTCATTTATTTATTCTGGTTTTAAAGTGATAGCACTTTCAGTGATGCGGTACTGGTTTCAAAAGTGGATCACATGAACAAAAAAAATATAAAAGAAATGCAAATCAAATGAACAATAATTAAAAGAAATATATAAACGTAATTTTAAAGAAAGCTAATAACTAATTTGATTTCGATCAAGGTTAGGATTTATTTAGACACATAAAAGGATGTGAATACTAGGACAATGAGAATTATGAATTCCACCAGTTTAAAGTTTAAATTATCCTATAGTCATCCAAAGTTCTAAATGCAAAATTTGATCCCAACCTTGTGGAACTTTGTACAGGGAAAGATGTTTATTTAATCTGCATTTTACAGTTTACTAATGTTTAATGGTATTCGATTGGAAGGTAGATTGATAAATCAATCGATGTGAACGTGTTCTTAGAAGACAACTGATAATACTGTGTATTCATTAACGTCAATAAATTAATGCAAATTAACTCTGATAAACCTTTTACTTGTGTTTATTAGTTTATTTATTGGTGGCAAATTATTTCTGATGGTTCTAATACAGAATAGTGTATTTTTTGTAAAATAGAATAATGCTAGTAAATAGATTTAATCTAATCTCTCAAATTCCAATATATACTTTGTGTATTGACCTAAAAAGAAAAGTATAATTCAATATTTGTATTTTTGAAACTTAGAATATTTCTTGCCAATTATCAGACTTACAAACATAGTACTGATGCATTGGTAGTGCATTCCAGAATAAAGGAAGATAAATAGATATCTCCATTCTCCTGCAGATTTTTAGCTACGGAATGCAACATGAGTTGCACATGGAACGGGATTTAATTAATAAGATGTTCCCGAGTTTAAATGAACTTGTGGAGATTGCAGTGTCTTTCCATAACCGTCTGAAGGAACGTCAGAGTCAAGCTAAGGTGGTTGAGTGTATAGGTGATGTTCTTGTTGACCAGGTAAGAGACACAGTGTAACTCTTATAATAATAATAATAATAATAATAATAATAATAATAATAATAATAATAATAATAGATGGATTTATATAGCGCAAATAA